ATTCTATTTTACAAAGAAATTTCTCGATCTCACCTCTTTCAATTCTTGATAAAGGTTTTCTTTGCCAACACTTATATTGAACTTGTATTATTTGTTAAGAGAGATCATATGTTGAAAACTTTGATACAAAGATATAAACTATTTCATTATTCATTATTCATCAAAGTTTACAACACAAACACTTGAGTTTTATTATTTGCTATCTATTTAAGTGTTTATCTAACTCTCTAATACTTAACTTGATTATATCATTGGTTAAGAGAGTTTCTTCAATCGTAAAATTATCACTTACATTTTGACGGTTTCGAGAGCCTTGTGAAAACTCGATTGTAAGGATAGGTACTCCTTGTTGTAAGTCACTTAAGGATAAGTGCTCCTTGTTGTAAGTCACTTAAAGGTAGGTGATCCTTATTGTAAGTCACCTAAGGATAAGTGCTCCTTGTTATAAGCCACTTAAGTATTGGTACTCCTTGTTGTAAGTTATCATTTTAGTGCATTTGGCCTTACTCATGAAGGAGAGCTTGGTAACGGGGGACGTAGATCATTGCATTTGATCGAACCTCCATAACATATCGTTTGCATTCTCCATCCCTTTTACTTAACGCGTTTACTTCGCGCAAATTTACATTGTTGCATTCTTTATCCCTTTTACTTAACGCATTTACTTCGTGCAAATTTACATTGTTCCATTTACGTGTTTACTTGTATTTAGACCATTCTCTATCATTTGCGTGCTCACTTAATAAAATCTTGAGTGATTAACGAAAAATTTTTAATAACCAATTCACTCCCTCCCCCTCTTAGTTAGTTATTCTTTGGCTAACACCATTCAGCATCAATAAAAACAAACTCGTCATCATTTTTTATATGTATTGAGTTATAAAATTCAGTAATTAAATATTTATATCCTTCGCATGATTTTAGTAATAAGAAAGTGGAGTTTCATCTATGTCCTACGCCAATTACATATTTTTTGGAATCCTGACTAAATTGAGCACGATGTTCCTCAAATGGTTGTTTTTCATTTGTGATATATATTAGTGCATCCATAATTCTATCCATTGATCTTTAATATATTTCATATCGTCTTGGAAAATTAAGAGAGTGTTTGGTGGGGATTAAAATTAGATTTTTAGTAGATTGTGATAGAAGTTTTTGAAATGTGTAATTGAAAAGATGTGTGACACATGAAAGAAATGGTTAATATTGATTGATTGATTTTGACTTAAATTAAAATCAGACTTTAATCCGACCCAGACAGGCCTTAAATTAAAAATATGACACGCACGACGAATATGAAATAAAAAATCATAAAAATCAAGATTAAGAATCCTACACAGTTTAGATTATTTATAACATGCTTATTAACACTAGCATTATCAAATATAAAAGGATGAAATTTACTTTCACAACGATATTCTTTAATAATAAGAGAGTTATATATGTTAGCATTATGAGGATATTCAATTATCTTAAAATGGAATTATTTTTTTATGCATAACCCAAAGTAGATTTTTGTAGTGTGCAGTTGAAACTATATAACATTTTTCTTATTAATATCTTCCCATAAATCCGAAGTAAACGATATAAAATCACTATATATATGTGAATCGTGAATAATTGTTCTTTAATTTTAAGGAAATAATCTATGGAATCGAAAATAAGAGTGCTTTTATTTACCTCAACGTACATTGGTTGAATATATTCTTTCATGAATGCTGTGAAATGTTCGCTGTCCACTATATTCAGCGACAACTCGGCACTAGCAATAAATATCACTATTCCTTGAAAATTAAGGCCCTGTTCTCTTTTTAAGAATAAAACGTAAACATAAGAGAAGAGGAATGACTCACGTGAGAACAAGCGCTTCGAAAATTAAGGGATGTTCTCTTTACCGTTTTCAAGTCGTTTTCTGTTTTCGATTTTTCAAAACAGTGAAAACGCGTTCTCTTTCCTATTTTCGAAAACACGTTTTTGAAAACAAAAAAAAAGTTTGAACTAAAAACACAAAATGACAGTTTCACCGTTTTGGGCATTTTCTGTGCAAAACGGCCAAAACATGGAAAACACGGGAAACACTCAAAACCGTCCCTTCCTTCTCTCTTCTTCTAATCACCTAGAAATGAAAAACATAGAAAACGCTCCAAACCCCTTCTTCCTTCTCTCTTCTTCCAACCCCGTCTATTACTTCTTTCTTCTCGACGCCGACGACCCACTCAAACACTGCAACTGGCGAGCCACTCAATCACTGCTATTGTTATTCCAAGAATCCAACTACAAAACCCGCTTTTTGCTTGCCAAAAACACATTTTTTGCCCAGTCTTGAATCTCTTGATTGGAGGTTCAGTAAATCAAGTAAGAGTTCACTCAACAATGTTACATCCACTAAAGCCACTTTGCTCGAGACCCCATCTTGTGGGCTGGCAGGATTTGCAGGTTTTAAATCTGTACCCCGTATGTTTAAGTAGAACTAAAAGTCAAAGATTTTTCTTGGATATGTTTATGTGGGTTAATGGGTTTCCTTCTTTTTTTGTTAATCTGAATGTTTTCTTGGTAGATTCGGAAGGTGGAGATGAGAATTTGGCATTTATATTGTAAGAGAAAGGAGGAAAATTGTGAAGAGTAGAAGCTATGGAAAAGTGTCTGCAAAATGGGTCCCAATTTTGTCTCTCTGTTTCATCTTTCTTGGCATGTTCTTCACCAACAAGTATCTGTAGTTCAAGAATTTGATTATTTATTTATTTTTATTTTTTTGTATTGTGAATTATCAAGTTTGGGGTTTTAAGATGATTTTACGTTTGATCTGGGTTTTACAGATTGTAGGTAGATCACTCTTCCATATTTGTTATCAACTAAATTATTTGGAACTCTTCTTTCTTAAATGGTGCTTTTGGTAAGGAAGATTGTATAACACTAGACAATATTATTGAAGAAAATGAAATTCGGACTTGTTAACTATAGTGTCAAGTCATTCCTAACATCGCCTATTAAACACGCACAAGAAGTATTGTTAATTACATGAGCCTGAAGTTGCAAGAGAATGGAAAGTCATGAAACTTTTTTATATAGCTATGATATGTGAAACACTTGACTGCACATTAAGTTGATTTCATAGTTTTCGACTGTTTGATGCAGCTTGATCCTGATTTCGAACCATATACTGTGCAAGGGACCTGAAATTAGCTATGTCTGGTGAAAATCATAACTATACATCTGAGTCTGGGAGTGATACAACAGAGACAACCACTTATTACTTGCAGCCTATAAATTATGCAGTTTCCCCTCGGGAGCTGAGTTTGTGCATCCACAAGTTGATAGAATTTAGGCTTCGAGTACGCATCGAGGAGCTTGAGATAGCACTGGAGAGTATTGAAAAAGAGGCTCAAACTCTGGACTTGGATGTAAGTTTGGGGATGTAAGATTGTTCGGCCAGTCCCCACATCTTGTCCAATATGCTGTGAGGACTTGGACTTCACAGACTCGACATTTATCCCATGTTCATGTGGGTTCCAGCTCTGCCTTTTCTGTCACAAGAGGATTCTTGAGGAGGATGGGCAATGTCCAGGCTGTAGGAACCAATATGATTGTGAACCTGTCGAGGGAGAGGCAACTTTAGATGGAGGCAGCTTGACGTTTCAATTGGCTCGTTCTTGTAGCATGATATCGAGGTCGTAGGAAGATTCTCTGTTTGCCTTGAACTTGTTTGTTGGGATCCTCTTTTTCTCAGTGCATCTTTGGGTGTTTTTACCATTAGATACTGATTTTTATGTCTTTCTTGGGTTTTTAATTATTCCATATTTGGAATTTCTTTCCCACCTTTGGCGCTGCCTGATTTGCTGTCTCGCTATAGTTGTCTTTGGACATTGGCTGACTTGGAATGTTAGGTATTAATTGTCTCCCAGTGGATATGTGAAAAAAATTATTCAGTTTGTGAAGTAATGCTTATGAAGCAAACTATAGTTGGTAACCTGTAACCCTGTTCGTGGGAACTCCAGAAACAGAAAGATTGTGAAAGAAACCATTGTCTATGCATAAGATGTCGAAACCAATTGAAGATTAGAACAAGAAGCAAGCTGAGGATATGTATTCAAGATCTTCACAGTATTCAGCTTTCTTTGTCTTTATTTCTTATTATTGTATCGTTTCTTAATTTAGATTTCACTTTTGTACTAAGGAAATATTTAATAAAAAAAATTCATGTTCTACTCTCAATGTATATCGACATCCAAATGAACACAATTGTAGAAAGCAATTGTAGAAAGCAAATCCAACTCGGTTTTATTCATGTAAAAATGTTCTAAAAATTTTGTTAATTCGTTGAATTAATTGTAATGGTCATAATTTATTTGTAAAATACTCTATTTTGCTAGTTATGTTACCATTTTTTAGTTTAAGTTGCACATAAGAGTGAAAAATGGTTTCCTTGTTTGAAAACAAATAGTTCGAAAAATTCGTTATCTTTGTATGAAGAAAGTGATGAAGATAACATATGTATTTTTTTTTTTTGTTCTGGGCATAGAAATAAGACAAAGCATTTGAATTAGACGAGAGAATTTTAACAATATTAAAATTTATTGAATAATTAGTTTTATTGAATAAAATATTATAAAAAAAGATTCTCAAAATTGCAAAGTAAATGCGGTTTCAAGTTTTCTATTTTGAAAAACAGTTTTTCAAAATGACAAAGAGAACGAGTTTTCAACAATTCCAAAACAGACACTCAAAACAGAAAACACAAAATGAATTCAAAACTCAAAACACAAAACTGAAACACGAAGAGAACAGCATCTAATTTTCTCCAAATATATCCGTGCTCTAAGTGTTGTAGAACCGGTACCTTTTAAAGGAGTACCAAATTACAGTCGTGTTTGAGATTCACCAACAAGCTCGTGTTTTAATACAATGAGGTAGTGATGATTGAGGTGAGTAGTACCAATACCCTTTTACCATGCCAATCATGTTGGCAGTATGTATTTACACATTGTTTTACACTTGTGAACTCCGTCGACTATACGACCCATTAAAATCAATTTAAAGTGTTTCTACTTTAGACAGGTTTAGACAATTGAAATTCTTAAAAAAAGAATTAGAAAATGCTTCGAGAACTCAAAACGTTTGTTTTAATTATTATTATTATTTTTTTAAAGAATATAAAACTTACTTGAAATCTTTTATAAAAAATAGGAATAATTGAAGCAGATGTCCCAAACCTTTCAATTTTTTTGCAAACTTTACCCTAATCTTCACTTAATGCCACCTGCAGTCCCAAACTGTTCAAAAATTAGCATTTGGGGTCCAAATAGATGATTTCTGTTAGTTTGACCGTTAGTTGGCCCAAAAAAAGAAATTTTATCAATTTTAAGGGGGTAAAATTGTAATTTTGAATTAAAATTTAAAAACTATAAAAAAAAAAAAATTCAAAACCCAATCATTGTTCCTCTTCTCCTTCCTACACCCCGCCTCCTAAACCTAACCAAAAAATCACCACCACTGCCCCGTGTCACCGTCTGTCGCTTGCCGCCGACATTTACCAAAACCACATCAAGTCTTTTTACAATTATGTCACCATAAACCTTTCTTTATAAGACAAGCCATCTTCAGTCAAGCTACCAAACCGAAGCCAATCCACCAATGTCGACTCGTGGTTTGACTCCTGCTATTTAGTTTTTGCATCGCCAATGGCCACCGGTAGAACCCTTAACATTTGGGCCTTTCGAGCCCTGTCCAAAGAATTGCACAACACAAACCCATTTCCGTTTTCCTAACAAATTGAATTGGAAAATTCGAAAGAACTCTAGTTCTCACTTATGGTAGCATTACATGTTGAAAATGCCTCTCCCCTCAAAAGCATTTTGTTCTTTATTAACAAAATTTTCAATTTCAATGAAACCAAGGAAGACAAAATGAGCTATGAAATTGGGCTTGGATTTCAGTGAAAATTAAGGCCCCGTTCTCTTTGTTGTTTTCATACTGCTTTCGATTTTCCAAAATACTGAAAATGCGTTCTCTTTCTCATTTTTGAAAATAAAAAAAATTGTACTGAAAATACAAAACATCTAAAAGCACATTTTGAGCATTTTCGGTACAAAACACGTTAATTTCAGAAAACACAGGAAATGCCATTTTGTAACTTATCCTCTATCTCTCCTCTCTCGTGACCGAACTTCCTTCCTTCCTCTGGTTTACATTTTCTTCTCCCCCTAAACCCACATCTCCCACAGCCTCAGTAAGGGAGTTTTTCGACCCTGATCCACCTCCAATCTCCCGACGCCTTTCCACCTCCAGCTCATGTCCCGTATATTGGTCCCGCTCCTTCGCCGCCTGTCAAAACTGTGGCGGGACCCATTGATCATGCCCCTTACCCGTAGCCTCAAAATCTAGTAAAATCAACTTGTTTTTTTTGTGAATTGTTTTCATTAATTGGTCTTCTTCAATCAGATCTATGTGACGTGTTTACTTGTTGTGGCGATGATTAGATCTTGAAATGAGGGATACGGGTGGGGCGGGGGGTGGATTTTAGGAGGTTTTCTTTATTTTTCTATGGCACATGCTATGTTGGACATTGGGGGATTGATGTCGGAGGGGCTGCTGCTACCAATGGTTCAGGCTCTTGAATTTCATTTGTCTATATATACTATTGAATCAAGAAACAGTCCCAACAAGTCATGTTTAATTTTTCATTCAATGAAGTAATCCGATTGACTCCTTTATTTGGGCCAATCTCTGCTGACTTTCCAAACATTCATCACCAAACCAAGACGTGTATGTTTGAACTCGGTTTGGTCTCAAATTAACCATACACAGTTACTGCTTTCTAGCCTCAGAATCTGTATTTAGTTCACTTTTTAGTGTCTAAATTATTTGAAATTAGTCAGAACCCATTGCCTTTTTTTAATGTTTTGATTTAATATTTTAAAAAATTTTGAATTATGGGAGAACCTACTTCACCATCTCTTCAATTCTGGATTTCAATTCTGAAGTGAGCTCAAGTGGCCCATTGTTACATGTAGAAGATAAAGTTTACTGTTTGCTTCATTCCCACTCATTCCACATCTTTATAGTGATATTTTATAATTTCTTGGCGAAATTCTTTATTGGGAATTGGGATGTAAATATTTTTACATATCCGGATCGTGCAAATTTGAGACTAGCATTCATTTTGATTGCAATTTTCAATGCCTCTAAGCAAGTGTTCACTACCCTCCATTTGCTTAATTAAAAGTGGGTTTAATTTGTTAGTATATACTATTTTGATTTCGAATTTCGAACGAAGAGTAATAGTTCACTATTCATATACATATACTGCTAATGAGATTCCTATGAACTATGAAGATGCATTTTGAAACAGCGGGCAGCTAAATATGCTGATAATTAGCCAAGAACTCTATTTTGTTTGGATCTTGTTCGAATTTCAGTTATTATCTTTTTTTATGGCCCTGCATTCGTGTCCATTTAAATCGAGACAGTTGTTATCTCTGCTTTAAATTTGTATATCTAAATATAGTTTTTCTCTCTTCCCCTTCGTTTTTACCATTTCTTTCTTTCTTTTCAACTTTTCTTAAATAGTTGAAACCAAGAAAACTTTGTTCGCACTTTTAAATAAGAGCGTGCTGTAGCAGCTGTAGAAGCTGAAATATTAAGAAGAATAAGTGCTTCAAAGTTCATAAAATGTGTAACTGTGGGAGATGGAGCTGTGGGCAAAACCTGCATGCTCATTTGTTACCCCAGTAACTGCTAGAAAACTTTACTAGTTGCAATACAGTAAAGCGTAGAAATAAAAACTTATCGACTAATCAAGTCTCGTGACAGCACGAT